CTTGGATGTACCTTAGAGTAGTTATTCACAAACCCAAAATATCTGGGATAACTGATTAAGAATTCAGGATATTAACCGATCAGAACGGTGCTTCATTTACTCTGGATTAAAATTCTCTACCGGGATGGAATTTTAATTCTGCACGAATGTTACATACTATATATTATGCAAATTATGGAATTAGAAATTTTATGATTTTAGCTAGTGTTATCCAAAATTACAATCGTTCATTTTTTTTCGCTATAAAGTTTTTCATTATTTAATTTTTGTAATTTTATTTTATTTTATTTTGGGAATTGCTAAATATCACCTGGGTGATTGTCACCTAGGTGATCATTGCCTGGATTTTTTTTTTCGAATATATCATATGATTTATAATATATAAATATATCTATTATTTGTTAACATTTGCTCAGTTAGTTCAGTGATTAAAACGCTAGATAATTTTTTTTATCTTAGAAATGCAGGTTCGATTCCTGTATTAGGCCTTTAATTTTTCAATTTTTTTATCATTTCGGAGTCACGAAGTCACGTGAATTAAAAAGCGAATGTTCTCAAACAGCGCGCAGAGCATATTCATTTAATAAATGCAAATTATTTTCAAAATTCTTTATTAAAACAAGTATTAATATCCATTTCAGATTGGAATAATCACAATTCTATTCTAAACTAATTATTTTTAAGATTTTTTTGGATTCTTTTTATTTTTGCACCTACGCGCATTATATTCACTGCCTTTACAGTAACTGCATACATATTTTGATCGATGTGTACTAGCAGTTCCACTTGACTTTGGATTTCGATTTCTTTCCAATGCATTCTCCATGCGCTTTCTTGGAGCACCGTTTTGTAAGGGTTATTGATTTCTGGCAAATTCTCTTTGCTGATCCTAGAATGTTCCTTATCTTTTATCCATCCTTGTAACATTTCATTTAATTCATTTTCACAACCTATTTCGAGAGCTAGTCCAATTGCTTTTTTTATATAACCAAAACCTTGATTATATTTGGCTTGATTGGATAAATTTTGTTTGACAGTTTCTGAAAATGCTTGTATATGATGAATTTCATATAATAGGCTAAAATCTGGCCTAATTTGATGTTCATATATGGATTTGTTCTTTCCACTGCAAATTATGATTGCAGGCTCTTCTTGAAAATTGGAAAACCTTTCATTGTACCATCGATCTGGGATGAGTCCGATATGAAACATAGCTTTATCCAAATTAAGCATCACTGAAAAAAAATGATGGCAAACTAATTCTCTCATTATGGGCCATATGCAAGTATACAAGTAATTAGCATTATTACATATCACTACAAAATGCTCTTTATTTTGCTCAATTGTTGTTACATGCCAAACCTCATGAATGCTAGTATTATGTAATCAGGGTATGTAAGTTGGATATTGATGATTCATAGTCATCTTCAGAAAAATTCAACTTTTCAGATTGTTCTTTATTATCATCTTGTTCTTTATCATTGTCTTGTTCTTCATCATTGTCTTGTTCTTCATCATTGTCTTGTTCTTCACTATCGTCTTATTCATCATCATCTTGCCCTTTATCAGTTTATTCTTCATCACCGGATTGTTCATCATTATCTTGCTCTTTATCAACTTATTCTTCATCGCCAGATTGTTCATCTTCAAATTGCTTTTTATCATCAGATTGTAGTCCTTCACTATCTTCACCATCTTCATCTTGTTCTTCACCAATGGAAATCTAGATGAAATTCATTGAATAAAGATGATGCGTGATTTGCAAGTAAATATTAATGGTATGACTTATATTTCATTTTCAAGTAAATCCTTCCAATTCTCTACTTTATTTGCATAATAAAGTAAACTTTCATTCATTTGACTGTGCTGCATCTTTAAACACGAGGGGTAAGAAATTTTTTGATAATGGTATCAATTCTTTTGAAGTACCTCCCTACAATGTTCGGCAAATCCACTGTGGAATTTTGACCTGATTGTTCATGCCATTCAAATTGTTCTTCTTTGTCAAGAAGTGACTGAATATGTGTATCCAATTTGAACAATATTGCTGAACTTTTGACTGATCATTTGACTAGTGAATTGTAACTCTCAACGCGTTGTCACCAGCATCTGCCACATACCAGTAGACTAAAGTTAATATTTTCCTCATTAATATGCTTGGTTTAAATTTTGATAACTCATTATTTCTTTCATTTCTTTAAATTTAACTTTTAAAATGTGATAGTTTCCCTTAACATTAAATAACTTTATATTGAATAATTAAAATTGGATAATTTTCCATACTTTATTTCTGGACTTTAAAATTTTTGAATAAAGAAAAATTGTGTAAGAATATTTATGTTACTTCAGAACTAATAGAACTATTATGTTCAGGCCTTTTTCGCTAAGAAAATAATTAAGGATTATGTATTCTAAATATTTGTTTTATTTATTATTTTTTAATTATAAGTTCAAAGCTTGAAAGCTGAAAAACTTTTAATTAAAGAATTCTCAGCCAATATTTATACATTTTTGATGTTTCACTAATTTATGTTTTACTAATTTACTTGTAATTATAAATTATCCACAATTCTTCAATTTCCTACATTCTTTCTTCATTTCTATATATTTTCTTCAATCTTTCTTTCTTTCTCTTATTTCTTTTATGTTTCTATCTTTCTTTTTTTTTCTTAAATTTCTTATATTCTCCAACTTTTTATCTTTTCTTCTTACTAATGATTACTAATTATTAATAATAAATTACCTCTTTATGACGTAATTGTACTCCTCCATTAAGTGATTTGCAATGACTCATAATTAATTATGCTGATCATTTGCTTTGCCACATTACTACGCCATACTTTGCTTTGTCACACTTTACTTTATCATACTAGTCACGTGCTAATCACGTGTTACTAAACTAAACTATAAATTATTTAAAATATAAAATAAACTATAAAATATTTGTAAATGTTAATTCTTATACTATAAATATTATAACTAACTACTAATCTTTATGTAATCTATTCTATATCTTTGGTTACAGCGTTAAGTAGACTGGATTCCTGCATTAAATGATCGATTGGTATGGCATAATGCCCAACTAGTTATAACTTACCTAAGTGTACGCTTTAGGTACCATATAGTTCCGAAAATAAGCATTACCCAAAAATAAGCATCTTTACATATAAGAAATAACCCAAAAATAAGCACTCTTTT